AACTGTTGCAAGTTAATGATCTAAGCTTCCATTTTATGAAACTTAAATAGATTAAGGTTAGGGGGAGTGTCAAAGTAAACTCAAAGTAAGCAGAAGAAAGGAAATTATAAATAATAGAATCAATGGAAAAGAAAGAACAGAAATACAGTAGAGAAATCAGTGAGCTCAATCACCAAGTGGTTAAAATGAAAGATTGACTATATCAAATATTGATGTGGGTGTGGAGTAACTGAAATGCTCACACACTACTTGTGGTAGTATAAGATGGTGAAACAATTTTTCAAAGACAGAGTGAGAATGGCTGATAGATGGCTGTTTGGGTTTGGTTTGGGATGAATAGACAATGAAGAAACAGATGGAACCTCAGGGGGGTGAGGTCTTGATAAACATATTTATCAAGAATATATGAATATGTTCATTCTCTTTTTTTTTTTTTTTGGAGAGATTTTCACTGTAGGGCACGTGCGCTCGCCAGACAGACAGAGAGAGACATAGAGACAGAAAGCGAGAAATCACCCCACCAGGGGGGATGGTCACGCCGCAATCCCTTCTCCTCCATTCTCCTCTCGGGATCTTGGGCACGCATGCACATGCGCCCGGCGTGAGTTTTAAGCCACCGGGTCCGGGACACGAACCGCGGTCGACTACGTGGGAGTCCAGCGACATAGCCATTACGCCAACTGCTGGTTCCCAATATGTTCATTTTCTTGATGAGGATGTGGTTTCATGGGTGTATCCATATGTTAAAAGTCATCACATTACATACTTTAAATATGTCCAGTTCAATGTATTTCAACTGTATATCAATAGAGCTGTTAAAAAAAGACAAGTGTTTGAGGCCAGCTTGGTGGCGTGTTGGTTAAGGCGGCAGTATCCTACATGGCCAACTATGTGGTGTGAATCCCAGACCTTGCTGCGTATGTGTGCCCAAAATCCGGAGACGAGAATGCAGCAGAACGGATTGTGCATGACCATCCCCCTTCCAGAGTGCTTTCTCACTTTTTCTGTCTGTCTCTCTCTCTCTCAGTCTCCCTGGTGAGTGCACCTGCCCTACAACTATATGAACGTTTTAGATTTGTATGAGATACATCATATGGGTGCGTTTGCAGTGGATACTGAGAGGCACTGCTCAGATCTCCCTTCAGGGAAAAACTGCTCCAACTTTTGGAATGCCTCCTGATGTAGCCATCAGTTCTTTAGGCTCTGGAGCTGCTGGTAGGAAGTGATTCCATGGTGGGTGGGGGAGGATCAAGCCCCATTGGGTTTGGTTGTAACAGCCCCAGGGCTCCTCAGATTGGGCTGTCTGGCCAGCTCTGCTGCTAACTTGCTCTGCTGCTAACTTCTCCCTCTGCCTGTCCTGTTCCATGGGGGGTGGGGGAGGATCAAGCCCCATTGGGTTTGGTTGTAACAGCCCCAGGGCTCCTCAGATTGGGCTGTCTGGCCAGCTCTGCTGCTAACTTGCTCTGCTGCTAACTTCTCCCTCTGCCTGTCCTGTTCCTCCTCCTTCCTCCCGCAGGGTTTGTCCAAGGGCACACCCTAACACACATCCTGCATGCTAAACTGTCTCAGAGTTTGCTTCCTGTAGATCTCAAAGTGCAACAGCATCTTATTGGCTTAAATATAACCAACACCAGAGAACTGGAGGGAATAAACAAAAAATCATCAAATTACGTGTTAACATTTTAGCTTAAGTATCCCCATATTTCTTATTTTGTATTGCTTAGATTAATATTTAGCATGGGATTATCTTTCACATTTTCTTTCTTATAGGCTTGCTGTTTCTACCTCTTTCTTCGAGGAATCATGTTGTGAAAAGATAAAAAGGTAATAGAGTAAGAAAAACAATTAGGCTCTTTATTATCCAGCCAGTCAGGAAACTAATGGCCTAAGCAGTAAGAGAGGAATATATTGGGAAATGTGACTGTGGTTTTGTTTTGAATATGGATCGCCCCAGTAGAAGTTCTGAAGTGGTCCAGTGATCAGAACTATCCATGGATTTAATAAAGAAGCCATTTAATTTTATTTAAGCCTGGAGATTTAAACTGTCACTGAAAACTTTCAGGCATGCTTAGGGCTAGCAGTTTGGAACATCAGCAAAGGAAATGCTTCCATTCCGTCTTCCTCTGTGGCTCCAAGGGGCGCAGAACAGGGTATTCCCAGGCCACCCTTGTGTCTTTTTGACAGCTCCCCCTTACGGCTAAACTTGGGAAGACAGAATGGGAGGGCCTTCTGGCCGGCTTTATCGCCTTCGAACCTTTGCTCTCTAGGAAATACTTCTGTTTCAATGTGTTTATTTTGATTTTTCTGGGAACTTGATGTTACTAAAACTCGGCACCAAGCCCTGATCTTCACCAAGGAAGAAAAAGAGAATGGCGATGTAACTTTCCTGACAATTTAGACCAGAGACCTATAGACAAAATTGGGAATTTTCTCCCTGGATTATCTGATAACAATGACATGTAATGTTACGTAAACACAATTGTTTTTCACTTTTTCCTTGTTGAGGTGGTGAGAGGTGTTGGGGGGTGTCTGCATTGGTGATGACTGTGTGAATAGACACTGTTAATATCTTAGATCTCATTTGTTCCGGATAATTCTTTCAACACTACCTCTCAATTTGGGACTGAACCGCGGTCGACTACGTGGGAGTCCAGCGACATAGCCATTACGCCAACTGCTGGTTCCCAATATGTTCATTTTCTTGATGAGGATGTGGTTTCATGGGTGTATCCATATGTTAAAAGTCATCACATTACATACTTTAAATATGTCCAGTTCAATGTATTTCAACTGTATATCAATAGAGCTGTTAAAAAAAGACAAGTGTTTGAGGCCAGCTTGGTGGCGTGTTGGTTAAGGCGGCAGTATCCTACATGGCCAACTATGTGGTGTGAATCCCAGACCTTGCTGCGTATGTGTGCCCAAAATCCGGAGACGAGAATGCAGCAGAACGGATTGTGCATGACCATCCCCCTTCCAGAGTGCTTTCTCACTTTTTCTGTCTGTCTCTCTCTCTCTCAGTCTCCCTGGTGAGTGCACCTGCCCTACAGCAAATTTAAAAAAAAAAGAAAAAAAAAAGAAAGGTAAGTATACATACATAGCTGCGTTGGATCTCAAGATTTGCAGAAAGTTGTTGGAAATGCCCACATGGATAGAACACAATTTATTCAAATTGGTGTCACTATATGAACGTTTTAGATTTGTATGAGATACATCATATGGGTGCGTTTGCAGTGGATACTGAGAGGCACTGCTCAGATCTCCCTTCAGGGAAAAACTGCTCCAACTTTTGGAATGCCTCCTGATGTAGCCATCAGTTCTTTAGGCTCTGGAGCTGCTGGTAGGAAGTGATTCCATGGTGGGTGGGGGAGGATCAAGCCCCATTGGGTTTGGTTGTAACAGCCCCAGGGCTCCTCAGATTGGGCTGTCTGGCCAGCTCTGCTGCTAACTTGCTCTGCTGCTAACTTCTCCCTCTGCCTGTCCTGTTCCTCCTCCTTCCTCCCGCAGGGTTTGTCCAAGGGCACACCCTAACACACATCCTGCATGCTAAACTGTCTCAGAGTTTGCTTCCTGTAGATCTCAAAGTGCAACAGCATCTTATTGGCTTAAATATAACCAACACCAGAGAACTGGAGGGAATAAACAAAAAATCATCAAATTACGTGTTAACATTTTAGCTTAAGTATCCCCATATTTCTTATTTTGTATTGCTTAGATTAATATTTAGCATGGGATTATCTTTCACATTTTCTTTCTTATAGGCTTGCTGTTTCTACCTCTTTCTTCGAGGAATCATGTTGTGAAAAGATAAAAAGGTAATAGAGTAAGAAAAACAATTAGGCTCTTTATTATCCAGCCAGTCAGGAAACTAATGGCCTAAGCAGTAAGAGAGGAATATATTGGGAAATGTGACTGTGGTTTTGTTTTGAATATGGATCGCCCCAGTAGAAGTTCTGAAGTGGTCCAGTGATCAGAACTATCCATGGATTTAATAAAGAAGCCATTTAATTTTATTTAAGCCTGGAGATTTAAACTGTCACTGAAAACTTTCAGGCATGCTTAGGGCTAGCAGTTTGGAACATCAGCAAAGGAAATGCTTCCATTCCGTCTTCCTCTGTGGCTCCAAGGGGCGCAGAACAGGGTATTCCCAGGCCACCCTTGTGTCTTTTTGACAGCTCCCCCTTACGGCTAAACTTGGGAAGACAGAATGGGAGGGCCTTCTGGCCGGCTTTATCGCCTTCGAACCTTTGCTCTCTAGGAAATACTTCTGTTTCAATGTGTTTATTTTGATTTTTCTGGGAACTTGATGTTACTAAAACTCTGCACCAAGCCCTGACCTTCACCAAGGAAGAAAAAGAGAATAGTGATGTAACTTTCCTGACAATTTAGACCAGAGACCTATAGACAAAATTGGGAATTTTCTCCCTGGATTATCTGATAACAATGACATGTAATGTTACGTAAACACAATTGTTTTTCACTTTTTCCTTGTTGAGGTGGTGAGAGGTGTTGGGGGGTGTCTGCATTGGTGATGACTGTGTGAATAGACACTGTTAATATCTTAGATCTCATTTGTTCCGGATAATTCTTTCAACACTACCTCTCAATTTGGGACTATATTGGTTTGTCTCCTGTAAGGTGAGCCTGTGTCAGGAGAAAATTAAGACAAGATACAGACGTACTGTTACAGAGGAATTGCTTTTCCTTGAGGGTTCCAGTCCAGGACTGCTGCAGGGAGCACCTCGGTTTCCTCATCTGTAAAAAGGGACTAGAAGATTAAATAAGGGGCCGGGGAAAGTATCCAGGTCAGTGGGTGGCACAGAGCATTCACAGGAAACGTTCGTTCTCTGTCCACCCCGTCTCAAAGAGTGGTGGCAACGCACTTCGGAAGCCTGCAAGGTCTAAGGAACCTTCCTCCCCTTTCTGTTCCCTGTGACCGCAGCGGAGATCATAACAACCTCTTCCGTGTCTCTTCCTTCCTTTTTTCCATCCTCTCCAAGAGGAGGAAGTGGTAGTCCTTGTTCCCTTGGATTCAAAGCTTGTGTCACCCAGGGCGGCCCAGCCCCCGCGTCAGCTCAGGTCGGGCGGAGGAGGGCTGCCGCTCTGGCCTGCGCCACGCAGCTGGAGGCGACCGGGAGGCGATGGGGAGGCGGGCGCAGTCGACCCAAGGGTGGGGAAGTGGGAAGGCGAAGGACGCGCGTTCCCGGGCTCGTGACCGCTGGCGGCCCGGGGAATCAGTGTCTAGACAGCCTTGGAGAGATGGCAGGCGGCAGGCACTGGCGCGTCGTGGGCAAACTCCACCTGCTGCTACTGGCCGCCCTGCCCCTGGCAGCCCGGGGCGTCCGTCCGGACGACGCAGACTGGACGCAGGAGAAGGTGAGCGTTCGGCGGGACTGTACCTGACCGGCTCCTGCCCAGGCAGAGCCGGTGCCCCCCACCCTGGGTACCCGCACCCCGCGCTGGGGCCCGGAGGAGTCGCGGCGCTGCGTCCTGGTTAGGATACCTCCGCCGGTCTTGGGCTGAGGTTGCTTTCGGGAGCCCAGGGGCCTGGGTGATGTTACCCGCCTCCCCTGGCTGCGGTCTGGGGTGGGTGCTGATCGGCACAGGAAATGGGTCTGGCTGCCGGCTTCAGAGCAGGGAGGTGAGGACGCATCGCGGCGTCGCCACCCACTCGGGACCCGCGAGCCCAGCCGTCCCCGCACCCCGAGCCGAGCCGCTGGGGTGCGCCTGGGGGTGTGCCCACGACTTCCCCACTGCTGCATCCAGGGATGCTCTGGAGATGTGGAAGTTTCCTTGCACTCTCAGGATGGACGTGTGTTACATGTTTGTTTTAGATGTTCGAGTGGCGCAGGGAAAGACCTTAACGAGATCTGTTCAACTTGAAAACATTTTCTTTCCTCAAGAAGGGTACATGCTATTTTCAGAGAAACATATCGGGTTATAGGTGGAGATGTCATGTAAGGAACCGAAGATCAAAGTGTAGGCAAGTTTCCTCGGTGTGAAGTAAATTGATTCACAATGATTTCCTTCTCTTGTGTAACCGTTTTGAAATCTGCGATTGCTAAGGCCTTGTGCAAATATGAATGGTAGTGGAGTAAACTAGTATACTTTTAAAGAAACTAAGAGAAACAGCAAAGTAAAAGGAGATACACTTTGACAACATTCTTAGGCAGTTTTTTTTTTTTTTCTTTAGAGAGATTTTGCTATAGGGCATGAGCTGTTTGCTGGTGAGACAGAGACAGAAAGCGAGATAGCATTCCCCAGGGGGATGGCCACACTCCAGTCCTTTCTCCTTTAGTCTCCTCTCAGGATTTTGGGCATGCATGCAAATACGCCCTGCATGAGTTTCAAGCTGCTGGGTCTGGGACTTGAACTGCTGTCGACCATGCGGGAGTCCAGTGATATTACCATTATGTCATCTGCGGGTCCCTTGGGCAGATCTTTTAATAGTTACATTAGGCCTGTATTTACTCGGACTTTGGTATACAGGGCACGTGGTGAAAGCCCACTTCGCCAGCCACACCCATGTGGATATGAATAGCCCCCTTGGTTCTCTCGCTCAAGCTTAATTTGCTTCACTATTCGAAGGTCAGAGCAGACCCCAGTTACCCATGGGGCCAACGTGCCACAAGGAACCACACAGGGGTGAGGGAAGTCAATGCAAGAGTAACTTCATTATAAATAAAACAACTTCCCATGGGTCAGTTCTACCCATGAAGAAGTCTTTTCACCTTACTGCTTAGCATTTGGGGAGAAGATATTCAAAGCCAGAATGTGGATCACACATGCATCTTAGGGATACACCTCGGGAATACATGAGATGGAAAGTGTTCCTGAATGAGCTGCTCAGGAGGGATCATGTGTGTAGGCTAGGCTGGTGCAGGTGGGGGATATTAGTAGATGCGTTAAAATAAACAGAATTGAACTTTTGTGGAGTGTCTTTGAAAACATGAATCTCCTTTATATTTATTTTCAGAAGCTTTTAATCAATTTCAACTTGGAAACGGAATGCGTTTAAATGGTAGCGGACACGGAGCACGTGGTGGAAGCACGTGACCATCAGCCATGACGTTTCCTGGTTTCCTGTTCCTTGCCCTCTCATTCTTCATAATCTCTTCTCGGTGCCAGCTGCAGCTTGCAGCCTGGGAATCATCTCCCACGCTAAACACTTGCCTCTCTGCTTTTTATGGCAGGTGACAGTTTTAATCAGGCGAGATATACCTTTGGCACATGGGTTTGCCAACAGGTGCGGTGTGGTAAAGGCAGCATCAGTTTTGAAATCCATTTTCTTTGTTTTGAAATAGAGGTGTGTCTCTTTCAGTGACATCTAATATGTAAACAACCGGCAATCCTAGTTTAGGACTGTGTTCTTAGGTCGACGATTTGGTTAAGTGAAGCCTAGAAACCGTTCCTTTTTTTTTTTTTTTTTTCATCGAGGTGATATTGTCCCATAGAAGTGATTACTACAGTCCCCGGAGGGCCCACAGATGTTTATGGAAGGGCACTGGCATCTGAGTACCAGACATCTTTCATATTTACACATGCCAATCTCATTTAAATGTCACAGGGCTCTGTGAGGAGGGTACATTCATCCCCAATATGCATGGGAGGAAACTCGACTATTACCCCAGCAAACTGGAGAGGGAGGATTTGGCTTAAGCCCTGATCTTTCCTCTCCTCTTTTTCTCTCTTCTTTAAGGTAGGTGAGTCCTGGCTGATGTTCTCAGAACAGTGACCAGCAAGTCCCGGTGTGTGGGGTGAGGCAGAGGTTGGAGGGGCAGAGGAAGGTGACCTTTCTGGACCAGGGTTGACTCTAAATGGCATGCCAAAATAAGTAGTTTGCTTATGATCCCTTGTCCTCCCCATGTTTTCTCTTTTCCTTGATTTTTCTCAGGTAGCTGAAAGGTCATCATTTTTCTGGATATTCCTTCTGAATCCTGCCCTCTCCCTTTGATTCCTGGCACTATTCCTTTAGTATCGGCCCATCCCTTTATTACAACTCTGCCAATCAGTGATAGAAGGAATTTCATTAAGCTGGTCCTCTTTTAGGTGTCAGTGGCTGATGGCAGTTGAAAGGGCTTTGTATGTTTTTAAGAAGATATTAGCTCAGTAAACCCTAAATGTATGGCTTCTATTGAAGTCTCTCTCTCTTTTTTTTTTTATTTTGAGAGGTTTTTGCTTATAGGGCGCATGTGCTCGCCAGAAAGACAGAGACAGAGAGAAATCACCCCCCCCCAAGGGGGGATGGCCACAGCGCAATCCCTTCTCCTCCATCTCCTCTTGGGGTCTTGGGCATGCACACACACGTGCCCGGTGTGAGTTTAAGCCACTGGGTCTGGGACTCGAACCATGGTCGACTTACATGAGAGTCCAGTGACATAGCCATTATGCCAACTGCTGGTCCCTGAAGTCTCTTAATTATGGAGTTAATGTATTCACTTTAGAAAACTTGGAAAATACAAAAAAGCATATGAAAAAACTAACATTACCCATAATCTCACTACTCAGAGATAATTGCTGTTAATAATTTCAGTGTTTTGGTTTCTAATCTCTCTTTCTCTCATACACATACATATATATTTATATATGTAAATATATATATATACACATATATACACACACACATAAATGTATGTATGTATTTATATTTACATGTATAGAGATGGATAATAATTAAACCAATCTATAAGTTTTTATGAGGATGAATGAGTTAGTCCACGCAAAGCACTCTAACACAATGACTGCCTGATGGTAAATGCTTGCTAAAGGTTATTTGTTTATTTTAAAAATAAACACACATGAATATTTTATACTAGAGATTGTGCTGCATATATAGCTTTATATCTTGCTATATTGCTTAATAGTTCGTATGTTACCTTACACCAATAAAATTCATAGGAGCAACATTTGATGATTGCAAAATCATTATCACTCCATAATTGAACTATTTCCTTATTCTTGAATATTTAGTTGTTTGTCCACTTTCTTAATTGTAAAGCTAGAACCCAATGTATTTTAATTGGTACACTTTTCTTTCATTATAACAAAGGTGAAGTAGAAAGGGTCAAGTCTTATTGGAGGTGGAGGGGCAGGTTTCTTCACACACATGGGAGTTGGATTCTTTGAGAAGACCTGCTCCAGGCTCAAGTCTGACAGTGTTAACTGCTTTCTCCAGCATTTCACGGTCTTCTGCTTCTGGAACCACATGTCCTATAAATGTCCTGAGGGTCCCCTTCCTCCACAGGAACCTTAGCTATCACTCTTCTATGCCCAAAGATTCTCTAGAAGTAACAATGGAGACTCAAAGTCAGAGACAAAGAGGTCAGCGTGGGTTGGGTGTGCCTAGTGGGAAAAGACAAAATATATTAGAGTCTCTACCATCTGGTAGGTAAATACTATGACATCTATTTGTTTAAAAAGTGTATTTATTTATTTCTTCCATAAGCCAGACAGACACAGAGAAAAAGAAAGAGAGACAGAGAGAGACAGACAGACACATGGAGATAGGCACACCCAACAGGGTCCTCACACCATGATCCATCTCCAGTCTCGGCTAGACCTGATCCTAGGGCACGGCTACTCATCATGCTCAGGGTGGTCTGGGATGTGAACGCAAGACCTTTCCACTGCACCATGACCTGACCCTTTGACATTTATTTTACAGATAAGGAACCTTTTCCTAGTCCCAACTAGTAAGTGAGGGGACAGAGGTTTGACCCTGTATTGTGTTTGAAGCCTGCATGGATCTGTTTTTAAGCAGAGGGCCACTCATATTTAGGAAAGACAGAGGTTTTACCACTTAGTGTCCAACTCTTCCTCAAGGACTTTTGTAATGTCAATGGCATCAGACACTCACAGAAGGGGTTCAGTAAATGCCGGTTGAGCTGACTTTACAGGGAGGCCGAGGTGTCAATGTGAAGGCTGTCTGGGAGATGCTCATGTAAAATGGAGACTGGACTTGCACTGGCTGTACTTAATAACAATCGCCCTTTGGTTGAATTATTTGGAACCTCAGATCTCTCTGGAAGCTGGGCCAGCTCTGCAAATTATGTAATTAAACCCCTCTTTGGCCTAGCACCATGTGATTAGCCTAGAGGAGATGCTTCAGGATATTTAGTTCACACTTTCTTAGCAAAAGATTGTTGTCACCCAGACCAGACTTATTGTCCTTCCTGCCTGATTGAAAAGACAAGGCAGAGGCTGTAACAGAGCCTCATTCCTTCGAGAGTGCCTGCACCAATAGAAAATGGTCTAAGTACCTTTTAACTGAAAGAAACCTAGAGTAGCTTGGGGTTTGCATTTATTATTGGGCTCAACACTATTTTTGCCTTGGTTACTTTACTCCTGCTGAGCTCAACTTCCTTGCTCATTTTTCT